GTTTGGATTTGTTTCCGAGACTCGATGTTTTTCTAAAAGATGCGCTGCGAAATACTCTACAAAATCATACCTAAACTATAATCTCAGAACTTCAATCAAGAAAACTAAACCAATCAGATGAAAATGGGAAAAAATGAAAACTTTCCAAACTCAAAATGTTTTTCGACTTGAACTTTTACTTTTGCTGCGATTTGCGCTAAAAGTGTCGCAGAAGTGAGAACTCGGTTTATGTTTGATACTTTCAAATGTGTTCTTTCTCGTGATTTGTAAAAAACGTTTTTTAGAGCGGACGATGTGCTGGAGAACGAAGTTACAAAAATACGTCAAATGTTGATAACCTTCTCTTTTCCAACAATGTGCTCAAGCAAGACACGGAAAACATGATTGAAGTTTTGGTTTTGCAGTTAGATAGAGAAAAGCAATCATTTCTTATCAAAAACAAACGTGATCGAAAAAGGTTTTATTTTAATGGAGTTATGGGACTTTTAGTGAAAGCACTACTATACCCTAAATTTAAAAAATTAATGAAAAAATGACGTTAACAACCGGCAGAAAAACTATTATTTTGCCGTGGTTTTTGATGTGAAAAAATTGAAGCGTAGCTAAACGATAGAGTGAAGTCAGGGCTACAAAATGGCTAATTCAGTTTTTCGTACTTTCAAAACGTTAACACAAGAAATCATTTTTGAATTTGGAAAGTTTTCATTTTTTTTGACTTTCGTCTAATTGGCTTAGTTTTCTTGATTGAACTTCAGAAATTATAGTGGTATGATTTTGTAGAGTATTTCGCAGCGTATCTTTTTAAAAAAGCATCGAGTCTCGGAAAAAAATCCAAACCAAGTTTTAAGCAAATTACTGCGACTGTCATTTGTTCTGGGTCATCCGTTATATCTAGAATATGATAATTTCACTTTTGTCTCTTATTATAAGAACACAGAAGGCAAAATTTATTATCATTAGTAATAAATACGAATGCTCAGGATAGGATTAAAATGTGGAATATCGGATTGAGTTTATCACATGGAATTCCCCATGTGATAGATGTTGTATTCATGATAATAGATATGTTCCATAAGTATCACTGATGTGAGTATTAGAGACGGCCAATTCAGTTTCTTTTAGCTATCTTTTCTTTCAATGCAAGATTGAAAGTTTCTAAAAGACCAATATTTTTAAGCATCAAATATGAATAAAGTCCAAATGAAAAGACACTTTCTCTCATATGTAGAGCTAGTTCAGATGGTCTTGGCGTTGTTGTTGTACGTAACAATGACAGATCATTCCGATGAAAATCGATAAATAATTTTTTCCATTCGTGCCATAAGTTTCTGTTTGTTCGTTCAATGATAACTAATAAACACAGAAGTTCTTTCATCTCATGCTCAAATTTAGAAAGATCACATTTTTCCAAGCAATCTTCTTCGTAAAATACTTTAACAACAGTTTTTTGAAATGTTTTAAAAATTTTTGCAGCTAATTTTGGGTTTGATTCAAATTCACACTGTAGTTCAGCGACCAATTTATCATGAATATTTATGCTATTGTATAACATGCGCTTTTCATAAGAAATTGAGCCTAAAAACTGATTGACATTAACTAGAATCAACTCTTGATCAATTGTGTCTAGTAATTCAGTATCATAATCTTGCAAAAGATTGAAAGTTTTAACAAAATAATGTGAACAGTACCGTTTTTTCATTGAATTCGATACAAAATTGATCCATAGTTCTAATAAAATAACTTTGGTTGAAATCGGATCATCTACTGTATGTGAGACCATCTGCTCGATATCGTTCAACTCACACAGCCATAGGATACTTGTTTTAACAAAATAAGATTTTAAATATTTTTCATTTATTTCAATTCGACGAATTATTTTATAATAAAATTTTCGTGCCAATGAATTTAATAGTTTTTCCATAGGTCGGCGATTAATAGCTAAATGTTTTTCGACAATTGAGAAAGAATAACGAAATTCGGATCTGGCTGTTCTGAGCGACTTTGATTGACTTTTAGCAACAAGATAGACCTTACATTGTGAGTCATTATTTATACGTTGTGAATTCATTTTATGTCGTTCAAGAAACCAGTTTAAAACGTGTGGATCAAAATCAAGACACACACAAGGAACACGGTCTAAATCTGAATGTTCTTCAAATGGATGTCGTTGTTTTTCGCAAAATGATTTAAATGATGGCAACGAAAATACCAGTGATTTAACAAGTTCATAAAATTTGAGTAAACATTCGGCTTTTTCAGCTACATCTCTAGGTAAAGGAATACCAAATGCTGGATAGACACAAATGCAGAGAAGCGAAGATGATACGTATGGTGTAGGCTCGGAGTCCATTTCCATATCTGAATTGAAGAAGTTGCGATTTTCATGTGCTTTTTGAGTTACATCATTATAAATATCCCGTAGAACACCCTTCCATAAATGATAGGATGAATTATATGCTTCTGAAATTGTCTGCATCATTCTTACTTTCAATTCAAAATGTTCCAGATCTAGATCAGGATATTGACGAATTCGTATAGCTGCTTGATCCAACGATGGACTGATTACCATTACCATACCAGTACACATCATATTTAAATCTACTGCTCGTTCTCGAAGATTATCACTAATAATCTGCTTAATTCTCATTCCATCTACATATCTGCCAATATGCGGTAAATCTTTGGTTCGCTTCACTCGAACAAAACCGGGAGTATTAGGAATTTCTTCTAAACAGGTTTCATCCGAAATATTTGCAACAACTAACATAGTGTCATTTTCTATGGCACCATCCGATGAAAAGAACATTTTTGCAAACATTTGACCTTCATCCTCACTACCAGTGGATATTTCAGTAGCATTATTCAACAATAAACTGAACTTCCGTTGTTGTATGACATAGTAGTGGGTATAATAAATAAGTATAAAAAATAACAAACAAACAATCACGAAAAACATTACTTTTAGACTATCTGCTTCAGCTACATATTAGTGAGAACAAGAAACAGCGAAACTAATGAACTGTGACATCTTGGTTTTTTCCCTAAAAAACTGCAATCATACCATGTGTGTAGTTACATAAAAGGGAAGTAAATCGAAATTTTTTTATTGTATATTGTTAGGGAAGCCGTCAAAAGTCGCATCGGTGAATAAATTCACCGATGCGACTTGATTGGAGAGAAAATTGAGAACACTATTATTCAACATGCCTGAGAAAAAGAATATGGAACTATCGTATAACAGAATGACGATGTATGTATATATTTTTTTCTGTACTATACTTGACTGGATGTTTTTTTTCGTTCTATGCACAATATAGAGAGAGATATAAAGCAAGAAATGGAGAAAAGAACAAATTTTATCGTTTTATCAAAAAGAAAGATTCCCTTTACTATGAAATTAGTGTTTAGTCTGACAAATTCCCGGATTAAAAAGTTAACAAATTTGACGATACCCTTCCTCAGCTTTTCTGGCAGTTTGTAGTACACAACTTGTACTCAAAAGATCAAAATTGCTGCCAGGTGTTTCAGGTCGTCTAAAATTTTCAGGTTTTTCAAAAACATTCAGGAGGCCAGAAAACAGTTTCATTCGACACCTTGAGCAATTCTTTTGTAACAATACTCATGACGCAACTACTTCACTGTTCTTTGGGAATATCTTAAGGGAGAATTCATAAGGGATACCAAACATCACTCAAAATACCCATAACATAGTCAAAAATTAAAACAATTTTTTATGATCTCATTGGATAAAACGCTCAAACCTACCATAAACCAACATTTTTAAACCTTAGAGCTTGAACATGACTGAGTTACCGTTTCTATACAAAAGGCCTCAGAGAAAAAATCGAAAAAGTAGACTTTTACCATTTTAATTTTTTCTTATTCTGGTCTCTATTTTAAAAATCCGAGTTACACATGAATCGAACAAGCAGAAAAACCTAAACAAGTTAGGCTAATTTCAAGAAGCTCAAGTCATAAGTTAATCGCAAAACATTTCAGTTGAAATTTTTGACGTTAAGACATTTGACTTTTCCAGCAAAATAGCTAACACGCAGCCAAACCCGGTTATAACAGAACAGTTTTAACACAGTTGATAGAGCGATCAATTGTGTACAAAATGAGCTACAATATTAATACCATCAGAATTAATATTATTCATGGACAACAAAGTCATTTAACATTATCTGTTAAATCACATCCTTCACATCTTTTTAGCTTTCAGGCTTAATTTTAATATGCATAACACATATTAATGTAACATCATTAGGCTGTTTGATAAATACTTGTCGTACTAAAAGATGACTATTAAAAAAAGTATTTAGTGTTTAGTTTTGGAATTTCGACCATTTACTACAAATTAAATTCCTTTATAATACCTTATGCCGCCAGTGTCAATTTGGAAAATGAGACGGACAACACGACCGCTTTAAGTACTTAAGCAATCCATATAAACATTGAAAAAGTTACATAGTTTACCAGCGGCGTCATATCTGGTGTGCATTGAAGCGGCATCATATCCTCTACATTGAGCGTATTGCAACAAACACAAAGGATGAATTTCTCTTCCCATGCATACCACTACCAACTGCTATCTAGGATTTTCACCTATTGGACTCTATTGTTCAATAAAAACATTTTTCCATACACTACTCTGAAATAAAAAAAAGTACGATATGGAACTTAAAGGAGATTTCGTGCACTCTACGAAACTTAATAAGGTTTCGAGAATTGAGACCATTTCTAAGCCCTTTTAGAGGTTTCGTAGGAAATCCACCAAACCTTAAAAAGGTTTCTTAGATCCTTGATACATCTTGTTTTCGTACATCCCTACGAAACCTAAAAAGGGTTTAGAAATGGTTTCAATTCTCGAAACCTTTTCTTTTCAGTGATATACACTACACAAGGTCCACAGCACACTGCTTCAACAGGTTAATACTATGTACAAAACTTCAATATTAGTTTCTTTTGAGAATGACATAGTCTGAGTCAAAACTAAAGTTTTGACAAAAACCAAATGTCTTAACCTAAAAAATTTCAATAAGTTGAAGTGTTTTGCAATTAACTTATGACTTGAGCCTCTTGAAATTAGCGTAACTTGTTTAGATTTTTCTGCTCGTTCAATTCATGTGTAACTCGGATTTTTAAAATAGAGAACAGAACAAGAGAAAATTAAAATATGATAAAAGTCTACGTTTTCGACTTTTTCTCTGGGGCTTTTTGTAACCCCCCCGCATAATAGAAGCCTCCCCCCCTATATCAGAAGCTCCCCTTTGGAGAGGTCAATGTGAAAAATGTATTAGAAGCCCTTCTCATTTGAAAAGGATTTTGAAATTTTCGGAGAGTTTTATTAGTATTTCTAAAGTAAAAAATGTCAAATTTTCAGGATTTTAAGGTAAAAACTAGTTTAAATTTTACATACCAGCATGAGAATCTCGAAATCCCTTCGAAAAGCTCTGAAAAAGTCTAGAAAATCTTAAAAGCTGTTACAAAATTTTTGTACATGAAACCCATGAAAAATAGTGGGAAGCTCCCACTAAAAATTTTGAACACTTGGACAGTTTAGAAGCCCCCGGCGCTTCTATTACGCGGGGGGGGGGGGTTATAAAATCGGTAACTCAGTCATGTTTAGGCTCTAAGGTTTAAAAACTTTGGATTATGGGTAACTTTGAACGTTTTATCTTTTCCCAAACATTTCAGGTTTTTCCGATGAAATCTCACCCCTGTATTTTGTTCAGAGTTCAATGCTGATTACGATCATATAGTTTCTGTGCAAAATTTCAGCGGAGGCAAAAATTTTCGTACACCACTCTCCCCTTTTTCTTTTGGTCATAATTCGGTAACGAAAAAAGCTTTTGACAAGTGGTTTGCACCGACATATTCTCCGCTCTCTTTAGTATATTTGTAGATAAAAAGTAGTTACTGTAATTTATTTTATAAGTAGTTAGTAAAATTTGTATATAGTCAAGTAGTTACTGTAATTTATTTTATAAGTAGTTAGTAAAATTTGTATATAGTCAAGTAGTTACTATATATGTTTGGCCAAACTTCGAGTGAACACATCACTAAACGTAGTTTTTGACGCTGAGCATGAATATGAGGTTACTTTTTGATGGAAAATGTTTTTTATGAGTGGACAGCCGATATTAACGTTCAGAACCCCGCTTTTTCCTCTGAACTTAAAAGTCTAAGTTTCTCTTTTCATATCCATATACAGTAACTAATTGACTACATGATGACGCAAAGATATCCAAAACTGTTTACCCGCTCGTGTAGAAAAGGTATTTCAAACATAACCTCAAGATCCAAAATATTAAAAGAGGGCTCAAATTCTCTCGCTTAACTTCCGCCCTATATTTATCTTACTCAGTTATGGACACTCTTTCGAATGGCTTAAGTACAATTTTTGTTTCAGTCACTCGTTCCTGAGATGGAACAGCTAGCTCGCGCTTTTCTCTATCAATTGATGTAGTTTTTATATCTTGTCGGTGCTTATACAGCGTAAAGAAGGTTTCTATCGACTGTACAGAAAAATTTTGCCGACCGAAAAACGTTCACTTTTCGGTCTAATGAGCCTACACAGAACAAATATACAAGACAACAAATATACTATAGAGAGCGAAGAATATTTTGGTGCAAATCACTTGTCAAAAGCTTTTTTCGTTACCGAATCATGACCAAAAGAAAAAGAAGATATCGATGTACGAAAAAGTTTTGCCGCCACTGTATATAAGGCCGACTAGATGGAAAATCCTCCAATGTCCTTTGTTAGATCTTGAGAGGGAGCTAACATCTCAGATTTTGGAGAAAATAAAGACAGTAAAATGAATATGGGATCCGATGGTGAACAGGAGGCAGAAAAAAAGAAAACTTCTGCGACTAAAAACACGACTAATTTGAAAAAAACTACACTTTTGTTTTCAATCTTTAGTAGAAACTAAATTTGTAATTACGAATTGAAAAAATGAATTTTTTTTTAAAATCTTAAAATATCTGTTATATTTTGCTAAAAGCCGTTGTATCCGTTTTTGAAAAGAAAAGAAAAACAGTAAAGTCAATAAAGAAATGGAAAAGCTTTCAATTCAATACGAAAACGAGCGTAAAAGATCATTATTAGCATGTAAAAATGACTTGACGATGATTTTAGTTGAAAAACATTGACAGACTACTCTCAAAATTTTGAGTTGGCGGACAAAAGAAAGGAGCAGTTTTGAATTGAATTGAATCTATTTTACGCAAACGTAGAATATCACAAAAAAAGTCCAAAAACGTATGGCATCCGTGGATACTCTGTGAGAACCGAAACTAAAATTTTTAATCTATGATGAGTCTCTTCTTTACATATACATAGAAAAGCAAAATAAATACATGAAATATGTGAACTAAATACGTGAAAAAAGTGTGAAATTATCAAAAGCCTGCATGATTTCCCAACATATTTTTAAATACAGATAAAGAAGACTAACATGCTAAGACAAGAGGTACAATAAAGTCATGAGTGTCCTCTTCCAGTTGTAAAAGTTGCATCAGAAACGAGGAAAGAACGGACGAGGAACTTTTCATGTATTTTCATTTCTACTGTAGTATCTTTTGTTTGAGTTATTAATAGAAACCGTGAAGACTCCTTTTTTGAACATCTAAATATCTTATACATCATAGGAAAAACAGTGAATTTCCCTAGAAAACTTCTGTTTAGAAATTTTTTAAAAATTCTTCATTCAACTTTTAGTTACAATTGACCTTCCCAATTATAGACCGTTCAGATCTAGGAAGAATAAAGCGTTTAACAAAGGTAATGAGCATTCGTAAACTATGTTACAATACTCTATAAGACAGCTTCAAGTTTTCGACAGGATCGCTTGTACCGTTTATCCTCGTACAATTTCATTAGCAAAAAACCATCAATACATTAACCATTGTTCTCTTATTTCCTTCATTTCGATACATTTTTAAAAAAATAAATTCACTAGTTTTATCTTGTTTTCCTTTAGGATACAGGATCTCTTTCTCAAAACTTTCTGCTTGAGTAAATTGTTGTGTACGTGCACTCAACACGAAAGATTTGATACTTGTACTGGAGAAGGTGTGTACACGCCCGTTTCTGCTTTATTAGAAAAACTGTAAAATAAACAGCTTATATCAGAAAACATATATAGAATGTATGAACTCTTGTTTCTATTTAATCTGGCAATATCCATGAGTTTATATGCAATATCTGAATGACGAGATGAATAATATTTCTGATAGACTTCTAGAGATCTTTAATGAAAGTCGATGGTTTCATCGTATTTTCCTTGACTACTTTGAACGTTATCCATATTATACAAACTATCAATAATACTCATATGAATAGAAGAATGATGACTTTCTTGAATGTCTAGTTTTCGCTGTTGATAATCAAATACTTCGTCGTATTTTTCTTGTTTATATAGGGCATCGCTGATGTTGCTAAGGATTGTTGCAATGTCTGCTTGATGAGATGAAGAATATTTTTCATACATTATCAATGCTCGTCGATGATAATCAATAGTTTCTTCATATTTATCTTGATTATTCAGAATATTACCGATATTACAAAGACTATATGCGATGTTCAGATTATCAGAGGGACAATAGGTTTCTTGCATTGCCAATGCTGGTTTATAAGAATCAAGGGCTTCTTTATACTCTCCATGCTCACTTAAATTATTACCGATGTGATTGAGACGTTGAGCAATATGACTATAACAATGACTGTAACAACAAACATGATTTACCACAAATTTTTGAAAATTCAGAAAACGCACACCTATACGTTGATGACCTAGCCAACGTATATATACCATCAATATTTTTGAAATACAGTCAACAAATACGAGATTTGGAAAAGCGCATCAACGACGACATGGCTAAACTGAAAAAATATGCCGATGATTGGCATCAGCCTGTAAATATAAGTAAAACCGAATTTGTTGTCTATCGTGTATCAGTTCAATGTCCTAAGCTGAATATTTTTTACGAAAATCAACGGATAACACAAGAAAAAACGTTCAAATATCTAGGCTTTTATAACGATTCTAAACTTTCATTCCGTGGGATGATTAATGCTCAGTTTATCAAACTCAGAAAATCTTACATGGATTGCAATAGTACAGTAGTTATGTCGATACATAAATAAATCAGATGTCAGGATAATATAACTGTTCTTTTTCTTTCTTCCAGTCTATCAGGATGGCAACAATACAATATCCGTATGGTTTTTTCTTTTATATAAACAGTGGAAATTAACCGTATACAATAGTAAATATTTGTCGTATTTGTGGTACAGGTCAAAATACGGTGAAGTAATCATAGGGAAAGAATGTTACTATCTTATTTCGAATGGCCGTTTACAATATTCTTAAACCTTCGAGCAAGAAAAGCAAGAAATTTGTATTTCGGAACTGAGCTAACGTCTAGCTAGCAGTCCCCTTTTTTCGCTCATTTTTAAAAAATTATTCCAATAAAGCTACAAACTAACGTAAAATCCTAACTAGATAATTAACCAGATAAACCTTTCTCTACAAAATGAAAAAGGTCTCGGCTCTGAACATTGTTCGTTACGGCCTGCACAAATGTAACGGAATTCCGTTTTTCTAACTTGTGCGCTCGGTAAGGACGGAATAAATAAAAGTGAAATTTTTAGCAAATGTGTAGCCCATCTGGTCCTGCTAGAAAGAAGATATTGAGCTGATTTCATTCACTCGATCAAAAGTTATAGGCAAAATGAAGGCCCTAACGGAAGTTCCGAAAATAGACGGTTTTTTTCCGAGCCTTTAGGATTTTGATTATTTCTCTAAAATTAGACATCACAGGAAGACCGTATTTGTATGAAAATTGTAGACTTTTCTTCAGGCTTTCAGAATATCTAATTGGTTTTGTCTGAGGATGTCTGGATCGGAAAACAGAGCAAAACTACGTCCGTAACGGAATTTCATGTTCCCATATGCAGTGATTACATCCCATTTCGAAGTTTCACTCGGAGAAATTTCACATGATACGGTCGGTTGACCGGACGAAATGCTGATGAACCTCACTCGAATTAACGGTACAAACTCTTTTCCCGGTTTTTGACTTCTATTTGAAAAAGACCTCCGAGTTCCCAAAGGCATCCATTTCTGCAGATAGATTTCGCTGAACTCAAGAAACTCTCTCATGTGAATGGAAGTTTTGATAGATTCTGATTCCGAATCCGATCTGAAAATTTGAAAACTTTACTTTTAAAGTGGGTTTTGAAGTTCAAAAATCACTTTAACATTAAGATTTTCAGTCTTCGACCTCTGATTCGTGATTAGCGTGAAAAAGTACGTTTAATGATATGTGTCACAAAACTAATAGGGAAAAAAATGTCTCGCAAACTCCAGAAACGAAGGAGACCGTTAGGTGGACAAGCCAGTTATGCAAATACAACTGTTGTACAAACAGCTAGAAAAATTGATTTTGGGGCTATCTTAAAAACGCGTATAAAGTGGAAAGACGAGCAGGCGAAAATTAAGCAAGTATACCAGTTATTAGAAAATTGTTTGCCCTACAAGATGTGATCGCTTTTTAAGTTCGAAACTATTTTAATTAATCTGCATTAATCAAAGAAAAGCAGAAAACCCGTGATGCTGTGACAAAAAGCGGTCGAAAGTGTCACAGCGTCATGGTTCTTTTTTGATTAATACAGATTAGTGGACTGCACAAGCCATGAGGATCAAACTCATGTACTTGTTTAAGGCGTGATTAAAAGTCTATCAGACCGATAAACTTGTATAAGCGATAGCTTTGAGCGTGTTTCGTCTATAAGCACATATTGTTATGTATTTGTGGTTGAAGTAGTTGGCTGATCGATTGATGGAACAGTACAATTTCAAATCTTGTGAAATGATAGTGCCGTTTTCTTTT